CGTAGTGACCTTTTTTTCCACATAAATGACATTTTGCATCATTTGCTGGGCACTCAGGTTTCGGATGTGGAGAGCCTCCGCACTTGTAGCATTTATTACTTTGTCTCTTGCTATATTGCTGTTGTGTTTTGACAGTTTTATTTTTGAACATGTTGAACTTTGTTTTGTCGTGCTTTTGTATCACTCTGTCAACTGTTTTCGCATTTACATGCATTACATTTATGCCGGCTTGTACACATACACGAGAGACACGAGAGTTCTTCTTTACTGATGTTTACTGTGCTTCTCTTAACGTACACAGGTACACCGTAGAACTGGTGAATACAAATGTACAAGAAAATTATATTTCAGCATTAAAACATATTACAATATAAAATTCACAAAATATAAACAAACATACCACTTTGGCCTGCAAGTAGACAAACCGGTGTAATTGGAACTTAGGGCTTATTTCTTCTTTCTTAGCTTGACTTTTACACGGCTAGACCGTCACCATGCGCAGCTTCTCTGACCTTACTTCCCAAAACAGGAAGTGACCTCTGCCCTTACCTTGTTGCTTTTTGATTTCTTCTGACTGCTGGCCATATTTATAGCTTTATCCAAGTCCAAGTCTTTTTCCATCTGCATGCGCTCAGACAGCCTCGTGTCGGCCAAGCCCACTACTATTCTGTCTCTTATCAGCTCATCGTGGAGCGGTCCGTAGTTACAGTGCTCTGCTAATGCATGCAAGGCAGTCACGAATGCATCAACAGTCTCATTCGGCTCTTGTTTGCGCATATTAAAACGTGCGCGCTCATAAACAACATTTTTCCTGACAATGAAAAAGTTGTGGAAGCTATCTCTCACTTTAGCATAGTCCCGTTGGTCTACATCACTTAACTTGTTAGTGCGTAAGCCAACTCTTACTACTGTATTACAACAACAACAACAACAACCTTTATTTATAGAGCACATTAAAAGCCTTAGGCATACCAAAGTGCTTTACAAAAAAACAATAAAATAATACAGTTAAGAGCATTAATATCAATATAATAAGAACAGCAGACAATGTTCACAGTAAAAAGCCACTGATAAAATGGACTGCAGCACATAGATTATAGCAGACCCAGTGCCGCATGATAGAGAACACCAAGAATGAAGGAATAGTAAAAAGTTAATGCAATAGGTCGCAGTTAACAAGTCAGCATTTAACGGGTAGAGAAGGCAAGTTCAAAAAGATAAGTTTTAAGGCGTGCTTTAAAAGAAAAAATAGAATCAGACTCCCGGATGCCAATCGGGAGGCTGTTCCATAACTCAGGTGCAGCAAAGGCAAACGATCGATCGCCTCTAGATTTCAACCGAGATCTGGGCTGAACTAACAATAACTGCGAGGATGACCTTAAAGCCCTGGCAGGGACATAAGGGTTTAAAAGTTCCTTAAGATAGGTTGGTGCAGTATTATTGATAATTTTAAAAGTAAACAGCAAAATTTTAAATTGAATGCGGTATTTGATAGGCAGCCAATGCAGCTCAGCAAGAACAGGAGTAATATGGTCAAACTTCTTGGTTTTAGTTAGAATACGTGCCGCAGCATTCTGAACTGTCTGTAATCTATGTAGAAGGGTAACATGGAGACCAGAATAGAGTGAGTTACAGTAATCTAGTCTTGACGTTACAAAAGCATGAATGAGCTTTTCTAAGTCATTATACGGGATATAGTGTCTGGCCCTGGAGATGGTAAATAAATGGTAAATGGCCTGTATTTATATAGCGCTTTACTAGTCCCTAAGGACCCCAAAGCGCTTTACATATCCAGTCATCAACCCATTCACGCACACATTCACACACTGGTGATGGCAAGCTACATTGTAGCCACAGCCACCCTGGGGCGCACTGACAGAGGCGAGATAAGATAAGACGAAGCTGATAAAAACTAGATCTGACAACAGCAGACACCTGTTTATCAAGTTTAAAGGAGCTGTCAAACAAGACACCCAGATTCCTGACAGTATCAGAGAAAGAACTAGTAAGAAAGCCAAAGGCATCTTGAAGTTTGGCGCGAAGGGCATTACTGCCAAAAATCATGATTTCAGTCTTTTTTTCATTGAGAATAAGAGTATTTGCCAACAGCCATTTCTTGACCTCACTCATGCACTCACGAAAGTTATTTAAAGATAAAGCGAGATCATCATTTAACTCAAAATAAATCTGGATGTCATCCGCATAATAGTGAAAAGCAATGTGGTATTTCTCAAAGATAGCGCTTAAAGGAAGCATATACAGTGAGAAAAGGGTCGGGCCTAACACAGAACCCTGGGGGACACCACAGCAAACAGGTACAGGGGGAGAGGAAGATGAGGCCAGATGTACCGAAGAGAGCCGATTGGAGAGGTAAGATTTGAACCAGTCCAAGGCAGTGCCCTTAATGCCAACAGAGTGCTCTAATCTTGCGACTAGGATGTTATGGTCAACCATATCAAATGCAGATGAAAGATCCAATAGAACTAAAACAGAAGGACGACCATTATCAGCCATAAGTAAAAGATCATTAAAAACACGAAGCAGCGCTGATTCAGTGCTATGATGTTGTTTAAAGGCTGATTGGAATTTATCATTTATATTATTCTCGTCCAGGTAGGTCTGCAGTTGAAGTAGAACCACCTTCTCAAGGATTTTAGCCAAGAAAGGAAGCTTGGAAATCGGTCTATAGTTGGCAAAATCACTATGATCCAGGTTATTCTTCTTTAAAACGGGTTGAATAAAAGCATGTTTAAGAACTGAAGGTACATAACCAGAAAGCAAGGACAGGTTCAATATAGACAATAGACAGGGTCCAATTACATTAAAACAATCCTTGACTATACGAGATGGAAGAACATCATGTACACAATTAGTATTGTTTAATTTCTCAGTTATACGCTTCAGAGTGGGAAGTGAGATTAATTCAAATTGATGTAAGGCAGCAGAACAGTCAGGATTAGACATACTGTCAGCCACCAAAGGAAGCGTAGATCTAAGAGATAAAACTTTATCTAGAAAGTAGTTTGAAAATTTTTCACAGAGACCTGGGGAGCACGAAAGTGGCATAGAGGGACGAGGATTCACCACTGAGTTAAAAATTTTAAATAGGATGCGAGGATTGTCACCATTAGAAGTAATAATCTTAGCGAAGAAGGCTGCTTTAGCCATTCTGGCAGCAGATTGGAACTTCGAGCGGCTAATACGTAAAATGTCATATGATGACTGGAGTCTGTCATTCCTCCACCTCCTCTCATCGCGCCTGCACAAACGCCGTAGAACACGGACAGAGTCGTTTAACCAGCATTGCGAGTAGGTTCTGGGGCGTTTGTGTTTGATAGGTGCAACAGTGTTAAGAATCGAGGAACATGTAGTTAAAAAAGTATTGGTAAAATTCTCAAGTGTGTGTGGGATAAAACAGTCCGACATATTAAATGAAGAATTAACAAAAGATGTAGAGAAGTTGACCACAGTATCGGCGTTAATAGTCCGAGTAGGATGGAGAGGAACCTCCAAGTAAGGGTCAGTGATACCCAGGTCAACGTCAAAGATGACCGGGGAATGATCAGAAAGTCCAGTATTACTAATTTCCTTAATGCATATATCCACATTAAATGAAAAAACCAGATCAAGGGTGTGACCCTTAACATGAGTAGGTTCATTTACCCACTGAGTAAGATTAAAAGAGTCAGTCAGTGCAGAAAAATCTTTAGACAGGTGGTCATCCATACAACAAACATGAATATTGAAGTCACCAGAAATAACTACAGAATCATATTTAAAAAGAATAGAACCCAAAAAATCAGCAAATTCAGAGATGAACATCTTATGATATTTAGGCGGACGATAAGCCACGACACACAGAGTAGTTCGAGGGCCAGTCAATTCCAATAGCTGAGCTTCAAAGCTAGAATAGGTTGGGGAGGGTAGCAGCCGTGCCTCAAGTTTATTTCTAAAAACCGAGGCTAAGTCACCACCTCTACCAGTAAGCCTCGATGAGCTAAAAAAGGCACAGTCAGAAGGGAGAAGTTCAGAGAAGGGGATGAACTCACCCGGAGAGGTCCATGTCTCAGTCAAAAATAAAACATCCAGACCCGAGGAGAGAAAAAAATCATTTAAGAGGAAGGCCTTATTAGAAAGAGACCTAACATTAAATAAGGCCATACGAGTCCGAGGAGTCCTGTCCTTAGTAGTAGCTCGTTTGAGGGTACTGAGGTTGTTTTGTTGAACACCACGGCCAGGCAGTGATATCCAAGAACGAGCAGAGTGGAAGCCCACTGGGCAGGCAGGATAGGACTGAGGGCCAACGGGACATATCCAACGGTGGTTGAGCAGTTTAGCCACAAAGCGGCTACCAAGATGGTGGACGAAACGAGAAAATTCACAGCTAGTAGAGGGGTAATCCGTAGCCATGGCTCTGATATAAGCCTTGAAGCGGACACGGACACCACTCCTTCTACCCCGTCTCCTGGGACGTATCCTGCGGGGCATGGGAAGAGGTAAGTCGGTCAGATGAGTGGGAGAGACGGGCATCAGGGGAATGGCATCACCCGCGGTCCCAAAACAGTTCAGTCGTTGAGAACAGGAGAAACGAAGATTCAGGAGCGTGTTTCTATCATAGGTTATTAGCGTACAATCACCTAGAGAACAAAGTGCCAAAGATAAAGACACAAGGAGTACAACGCCGTACCATCTCCCGGCATGCATTGCCAGTGCGTAACGCGTAATTACACAATCAAACAACGAACACATACTGCCCATACAACAAATGTACCAGAGACAATTATGAATACACCACACCTCCCACTTCAAACTCAGTGATGTATAAAACAACACATTTGAATGGCACTGGGAGCTCAATTTCCACAAATTTTAACAAGAGAATGTCAAAAACCATTCTGCAGATATTCCAACAGACCTGTTTCTCACTGAAACACTGGCACAGTATAAAATGATAAAACACAAAAACGAGGCTCTTAACTGTTGAATAACTCTAATGCTATAAAAAGCGAGAAACAAATTAACCCAAATATATATTTTTCAATAAAAAAGATCTTACAGTTTTGACATGTGATATGTTGTTTTGTATCATATTAAAAAAACAACATCAATGTTATGCTCGAAACGAGACAGGGAAAATGACAGATCTCGAAAATGCTTTAATGTACGAGCCTAGAAGGAGTTCCTGAAAGCATCACTTCCTGAGGATTTTCTTTCATAGAAGTTTACGTGCCCATTGCTGTTTTTTTTAGCAGCTGCTCTGGCTGATACGTAGATAAAGACAGCGATAGGTCCGCCTGTACCGATGACCAAACAGTGTAAAGACCGGAAACTATCTTCATAACCGACTAACGTCAAACTTGGTAACGCCTTTATGTTCCAAAGTACAACCAGATTACCGGTTGGCTAACAATTTGTGCAAGAGGTCGCTAGATCAAATGACGTTTTTGTCTGCCAGTTTACTTTTGTTGAAGAGAGCACACATTAAGGTTTTTTTTACAGCTGTTGTCAGCAAGGAACAAAAATGAGTCGAAGAGATGAAAGAAACGAGGAAACGGACAAAGCTTCTGTTTCCTCAAATGTCGCAGACGATTCACAGAGGATGAAAACAATTTACGCTGTGTATCTCATCGCCGCTTTGGATATCACATGGATGTTTTTACAGTTCTCAGTAACCCCTGTGAGTATATGACACGAGAAGAAGAAGAAGCTGAAATGTCCCTATATTCCCTTTAGTGCGCACAGTTATGATTGAGGCTGGATTTACTGACGTTGATAATGCTATGGCTGAAAATCTCGTTTTAATTAAGAGTGCAAGAATGACCACTGGTCTTATATGAAACACTAACAGTAGCTATTACATACACTTATAGTAAACACTGGAGAAGGGGTATTCATATCACTGAATATCAGTGACACACATCCTGCTTTGAAATGTGCTTAATCACTGTGACAAGATAAGATAGGATAAGATGACATTTATTAGTCCCAGACTTGTGAAATTCACTTTGTTAAAGCAGCAGATATGTGGCTGTTCAGGAACATAGGCAGTATTTATACTTTGTATGGATGAGAACTATGCCAGTATGTACATGTAGCAAAGTGTTGTATTGTATTGCTAAATCTTAGGATCTTTACTAAATTTCATACTTAAGAACAGATATTGAAAATTTAGTTCCACTGCAGTGATCGAAAACATAAAGTTAGTCAACAGATTTGGATACACAAAACAAATCTGCAGTATAGAAATGCATTATCGAATACTACCCATGTATTTTCTTCCAGTTATTCTAATTTGGGTCACTCACATTCACAGCTGTGGCAAATTTAGAATCACCAGTTAACCAAACCCCATGCATTTCTTTGGACTGTTGAAGGAAGCTAGAAAGAAAACACAGGGAGAACATGCAAGCTCCACATAGAAAGGCCACTTGTACATGAGTTAATGTTTTATTGTCTTTCCAGGGGCACAAATTTGTAGTTTTTGGCACACTTATCACACATGAAACAGGAGTCAAAATTACATGATTGGAAGCATCAAAACGCCTTTTAACTATAAGCTTTTAAATGTGATAGATTAAATAGAACTACATGTATGTGGCATAATGGAAATAATCATGTTTTAAAATGTAAATTAAGGATTTTGGAAAAGAAGCAGCAGGAAACTGGCAGAATTTTAAATTTCATAATAATCTAAAAATATAAGCTAACACATCATTTAGTCATAGTCTAGTCATAGTGCAGTAAACATAAGTGACTCTAAAACTTCTCATTCTGTGACGTAAAATCTTCCCAACTTTGAACTCAAAGCTGAGATATGATGAAACAAAAAGGCATAGCAGGACACTCATTGCTGCCACCAAATACCTCCACCAACTCTAACACCAGCAGCACCACCTTCCTCAAATAAGGCCAATGTTCACCTGCAACACAATGCAACCCATTTAAATCAAATTGATTCACCTGGCATTTAGCTCTTTTTCTGTCACCACTTTCCATTTTACATGACATGACTCTGCTGCTAAAGATATCCTATAAAAAGAAGTTAGAGTTTGAACTGATAGCAGCTCTACCTCGGGCTACACTCTAAAAAGTGTATTTCAGCAGTAGTTGAAGTTACGTAAAGTTAAGAGTCAGTTTCATTAAGATTTCTGCTTTAGTGGAGCCAGTCTAAATTTGTGGAGTA